CCATTTTCTTTTTTAATTCTAAACTTTTGTTACATGCTCTCGTGCACAGATCGCGAAGTCTGATCGGCACGATTGCCAAGTGGCGGTGAAGATAGTCTCGAAGTTCCAGGCGCCCGGAGAATACCTCACGAAATTCCTACCTCGCGAGATCGAGGTGGTCAAAGGCTTAAAACATCCAAATCTCATTCACTTTCTGCAGGCGATAGAAACCACACATCGGTTGGTTCATCTTCCAGATTAATCCTTGAATAACATCTGTAGGCAGATCAGCGTAGAAATAAGTGTATTTGAAGCGATTGAGATGGAAATTCATCCCATGAAATTCTGTTATACGAATGCTCTTTCAATTTCTTTCAAATCGCTTGTTTTTTCCAGGGTGTACATTATTATGGAATTTGCGCAAAATGGCAGCTTGCTCGACGTTATACGACGCGATACTTATATCGACGAGTTACGTAGCCGTAGATGGTTCCGACAGCTTTTGGATGCCATCGATTATTGTCACGAGCACGGCATAGTGCACAGGTAAAGAAAAATACAATCATCGTAAATGAAAATTTTTAAAGAGAATGAAGATTTTAAAGCTTGTTGAAAGACATAGTAAAGTTACGATCTCGACAGAGATCTAAATAAAGATTGTTCAGAGCAATAATTTTAATATAACTCTGATGAAAACTCTTGCAGAGATGTAAAGTGCGAGAATCTGCTCATGGATTATCGCTTCAATGTTAAATTGTCTGACTTTGGATTCGCGCGTGGGCAAATGAAATCGAAGAACGGCGAGTGGCCTCTCAGTACAACTTACTGCGGCAGTTATGCCTATGCATCGCCTGAAATTCTACGAGGAATCCCTTATCAGCCTCAACTCGCCGACATATGGTCCATGGGCGTGGTGCTTTATGCTATGGTTTACGGTCAGCTGCCGTTTGACGATACAAATTACGCACATCTGCTAAAGGTATCCAGGTATATGCCAAGACCAGTATACTCAATGTATACTGAGGTCGAGACCAACCTTTCGCATATTCTTCTTCCAAAATATATCTCAATTTATAAAAATTATTTTTTTTTAGGTCAATAACAGATCATAAAAAATTTAAATATTAATATATATATAAAGTAGAGAATAATAATAATCTTTACTGAACATGGAAGTACCAGTTAAAAAATTACTATTTTCTACATACGTTCCTTGCAAACGACTATGCCTTTTGTGCTGTTATTTTCTAATGCAATCCATTCCTCTCTCTCCTTACTCAGCAAATACAAAACAGAGTGGTGTTTCCTAAACGTCCTAAAGTATCTCAGTCGTGTCGTTCTCTCATTACCCGTATATTAGTACCTCAATACGCACGATTACGCATCAATAATATAAAAAGCGACGCTTGGCTCGAGACATCTGTTGTCGCTCAAACATCGATCAGCGACCGATTTATTGTAAGAGTTAATCAATGCACCCAAGTTTATATGTGTGCCTGAAGAATTTTTGCGCTTTATTATCTTTTATGTTATTACAGGGAGCATTATCTACAATACCTGCAACTAAAGAATCCAAAGTATTTGACGAATGCGTAGTATCCATTGATCCTGCAATTTTTCAAGGGAATGAGAGATCGAAAGATGTTGTTGACGAAGATAACACAGGAATCAAAAAGACTGACTTAAACGCAAAACCATAAAGCTCATGTAATATCACAAAGTAACATTGTAAAATGAAGTAGTCAAACAGAATGTTAAATAATTAACAGATTAAAGATATAAAAAAAAGCAGTAATTTCCTAATAGTTCTTATTAATATACTATGTATAACAATCTAGTAATTATTTTATGATATTATGGCACTTTTTATTCTTGACTGTTTTTCAATCTATAAATATTAGATACTATAATACAAATAATAAAGCAATGCATCATACTTGGTAGACATATTTTCTGTTGAAATGACCAGATTTTGTCTAAATGCAATAAACAGTACATGGTACTGCATATACAAACTTATTATAAAGTAGATCTATACTTAGCAACCATAAGCAGTATTATGGTTCCAATTATAAATACACCGGGCGCAGTCGCTTTATGTATATCCTCTGTGTCATCTGCAACAGAAATATCTGCAATTAAAATTTATTCGTATAACAGTTTCATATTCATTAATAATGAATCATTATTAATAGTTACCACTTGCTTCTGGGAGTGGCTCCCAACCTAAACTTCTATCAATACCTATTTTCCACTGAGAATATAAAATATCACGTTCTGAAATTAATATATTAGTTAATTAATCTCTCCGTACAATGCCATAAAATTTGTATTTTTTGTAATAAAGTATGATTATTGTAAGATATATAATCACCATTCTCAGTTATTGATGGAAAAAAGATATCACTAGGAACAGCAGCGTCAATCTTCACATCCCATTTCCGTATTCCTTCCGCGCTACCCGCAGCAATTGCAACTCCAAGTGCAGTAGTTTCACACATTAATGGTCTAACTTTAACATATAAAATTATGCGTGCTCATTTAATTTGTTAACTTTTAATCTAACAATATGTATGTAAGCTATTGGAAGAAATATTTTACCTACCTACTGGAATACCACAGATATCAGCTTGCATTTGCATCAACAAATCATTATTGATCATTGCACCGTCAACCAACAGTTTTGACAGCACCAAACCAGTATCCTCCTTCATAGCTTCCAAAATGTCTCTCGTCTGAAAACATACCGCTTGCAGAGCTGCTTTTACAATGTGTGCGTTAGTAGTATCTTCACTAATACCACATATGACACTGAAAATAGTTAATTTGTAGACTTAAACATTGTTGCAAAGTAGTCAAATTCCATTGTATTGACAAAACTAACTACCTTCGCGCATCTTTTCTCCAGTATGGAGCATACAGTCCAGCAAACGCTGGTACAAAAACAATACGATTGTCCG